AAATAAATGGATTCAAACCTGTGCACTGTTTCTTTATTTTAAAAGTCACTAAAAATGTATGTTAAGTTGTGGACTGAAAACAAAACAAAAGAATACACAAATTTTAACTATTTTGTACTGATTTTAACATGGCTTTTTGTTGCATCCTCTGGCATAAATAACCCACCTTATCGACTAATGGTGGTTGTGTGTGTTATTATACTTGCGGGTGAGGTATCCACCCATAAATGTTAGGTTTTAGGTGTCATGGTTAGACTGTAGAAAATGAATGAAAGTCAGGGATGTGTGCATCTTAGGTCCTCACTGTTTATTTAAAAGAAGTGCCCTGGGGCAGCTGTGGTGGCTATAACTTAGCTTGCCACTACTAGCATTAGAGAATAGGTGAATGACACAATGTTGTGTAAAGCACTTTGGAGTCCCCTGACCTTAACAGACCATCTACTTATTTTTATTTCTATTAAAGTGCAATGCTCTAATGCATTGTGGTTGTTATATAGTGTTGTATAATGAAACTGCCTTCATTATACAACACTATATAAAAAATACAAACCAGTTAAGACCACAAAAAGCAAACCTTTAACGGTCTTTAAGTTATCGTGCAAGAAGAAATTATTAGTCTTACCTAAACATATCCTCTGTCTCAATGGTAGCGAGCCAGAAGCTGTAGGAGTTGGCATAGTAGTTGCAGGTTCCTCGACCGTGACATTCAATAAATGGAGCACTGCGGAACTCCTCCAGACAGGAACCAGGAGAGGCCAAAGCCTGACCTGAACCCTCGGCACCCGCACTGGTGTGCTGCAGAAAAACACACAAAGCAATAAAGATTAGATGGGGATTACGTTAATTTGTTGTTAATAAGAGAGCTATTAATGATATGTTTTTGTTCATCTTGCATTGATGTGAAATATTGTTAGAAAACACAACATAAAACAAATCTATGGATACTATATAAGTAAAAAAAACATGATAGCTGCTCAGTTTTCAAGTATAGTAAGGTTATAATTTTATGTCATTTTTAAAATCAGAATCAAGTTTATTGCCAAGTAGGTTTGAACTGACAAGCAATTTGACTTTTAAGTGCCGCATTGGTCATGATTTGGCTAATGTTTAGTCAGAAAAAAATGGTACTGGCATCAGAAAGCAATAAAAATCTAGATCAGAGCATCTATTCAAACTACATAAGATGAAGAACATGAGAAGAGAGGTGAGGACAGCAGAGAGGATCATCAGGGCTCCCCTCCCCTCCATAAAAGACATTTCCTCCCAGCTCTGCATGTCCTAAGCCAGTAACATCAGCGACCCCTCACAACCACGCAATGGACTGATCGCCATGCTGTCCTATGGGAAGAGGCTTTGCTGCATTCACTGCAAGACCAACAGGTTCTGCAACAGCTTTTTCCCCACTGCCAACAGACTGTTGAAACTCTAATCAAGACTGTGCATCACACTTTCAACATTATTTTGCACTACCCACGTTGCTGACATTTTATAATCCTTTTAAATAGGACACAGCTAAATGTTCTACTGCATTTTGCATGTATTTTGCACTGCACTGAACTTTTTCACATTAATGCCATTTTGCACCATTATTGGTTTGGTACCAGTTTCTTTTTTCTCTACATTGTTACTTTCTGATCACTGCTGCACTTTATATTGGTAATGTTTATCTTACTCCAACTGCTATATACCGCTTGTCTAAGTCCAAGGAAAGTGTTTTTGAAATCATAGGATTATGAGCCAAGAGACCTAAAGAACTTGAAGGGGCCTAATCACGTACTTTGACTTTATGAAGCTTTATGTCAGAAGCTTACACTGGTTGTAAAAAAAGTCTTCTGATTAAATAATCACACCTTATTGGTTAATTATATTTTATGACATGTTTTTTCGTTTTGCTCTATTTGTAGGCAAGTGGAGGCGCAAAAGGAAAGAAGAAAAGTCTTAGATTAGTGTAAAAAAAGTGAGAAAAATAGTTGAGTCTACGATTCTTTTTTCATTCAGTTCGTTACCTATTGGTACTGCTGAATAATCTTACCAATGTTGAAGAGGGGTTTTTAGCTAAAAATCCCTCTTCTTTCCTTAATTATAATGTTTGTATTATCAGAGATCTGAACAACCTTAGAGAACAGAAACCTACCAAAATCATCTGGCTTTAGAAGGCAAGCAAAGTTTCTTTGTGTGGCACTATTTTTACACAAGCTGATTCCAAGTGTAAGTGTACAAAGATGATCTTGCCTTTTTATTTAATTGGCCTTTGGTATTAATTAAGTATTTTTGAATTTGAATTGAACTGAAACTACATTCAGTTACCATGACAAAGGAGTAGCCAATCCAAAGAGAGCTCCAGCCTTCAGGGCATGGTGGGATCCTGATTGTCTGGCTGTGGACTGCTATCACCATAGCCGGAGCTTCACATACAGCACACCTGCATACACATGAAAACAACAAAATATGTTGTGGATAATTGGTATGACGCAGGCCAGCCATATTAGAACAGGGTCGAAAGAAAACCTGCTGATGAAGGGTTTAATGCCGTCCCCAGTGATTGGTGCCATGCTCATTGGCATCGGCTCCGGTGAGGTTAGCCAGTAGGAGTAATCATTACGAGATGCAAAGTTGCACACGTTGTTGATGTTGCAGAATAAGAATGGCATGGGGCTGAACTTTCGGAGACAACTGCCTGCTGTACCTAAAATAAAAAAAATAAAAAAACATACTTTAAAGATTCCTCCTCTAATTATCCATATGTCCCATCGCTTTCCCATTTCCTTTTTTCCTACCTAAGTCTTGTCCATGGGAACGCTCATTGCCTTGCACATAGAGCAAGGAGTATCCATCATAGATTAACCTGGTACCCCCAGGACACAGAGGAACCTCAATACTTTGGCTGTGACGTGTTACCAAGAAACCATGCTCCATGGAAGATGGGCCAGGAGGACCTACTTGACCTTGAACACCATCAGGTCCTGGGGGACCTGGAAATCCTCTGGGTCCTAAATACATAGAAGAGTTAGAAAATGGAATCTAACTTCACATCACTAAAGATCTCCACCTCTTATCTTGTCGCATTCTCACCTTGTGGTCCTGGCATACCAGGTTCTCCTTTAGCTCCTGGCTGACCATCAAATCCATTAATACCTGTTTCTCCTTTCAGGCCCTGGATACCCGTCACACCTAAAGGGAAAAAACAAAAATCATTTGCAAGAGTTGAAATGATCAACAATTCAAACATCAACCCCAACAATAGGATTACGATGAAGAGAAAAAGCTCACCTTGCTGTCCCTTCTGTCCAGGAAGCCCTGGTGGTCCCTGAGGACCAGGTAAACCCTGATCACCTGGGAATCCAATATCTCCTTTGATCATTATTCGAGGGCCAGGGGGACCAGGGGGGCCTTCAGTACCTGAAAACAGAATACATTTGGGTATAAATTAGGGAAAATGTGAAAGAAAACAAATGTGAAGAGATCCAAAAGATTTCTGGTGCAACTTCACCAACTTTCATGGTAAATGAAGAGGGTCAGCAAACTGGTAAGATGAAAACTTTAGCAACACTTGAAGTCCTTGTAACAAACTTTATTGGTATACCAAATCCTTTTGGTTTTTGGCCTTCTCTAGAAAAGAAATGTGAAAGAAGATTGTAGTTACCCTTTTCTCCAGGGAATCCTCTGTCACCAAGTTCTCCTTTGAATCCAGGGTCGCCAGGTGAACCTCTATCACCTAGAGATAGAGGCCATTCATGTATTAACCAGTCATAACTTACTTAAACTGATTCTAGGTGTTTTAGAAAGCACATACATAAATACTACAATAAAATATGTAAACCTTGAAACTAAATAAAAACGAAAGGATTGAATCTTTAAAGCCTTTTGAGGATTTTTTTTTATCTAAACACATTTTAATCTGATAGTGAAATCTTGTGCATAAAAACATTGCTATTCTGAGCATTTGGGCAACATAAATCCACTTGTTTAGAGCATAATCTTCATGAAATTTTGACTTTGGCTCCATCTCTGTCAGATGGTTTTGGAGGAAGTTTTTCATGTTTTATGACAGATTTCTAATAAACTTTTGTTGTTTTAATGTTTGTTTGCTTACTTTTGTTTGTAGCACTTTTTGAATCTTATGATACTTATATAAAGCACATGATTGACAATATTCATCATTATTCTTTTAATTAATAGACTTATTACTTCTAACTCCATGACTAAGAAATGTATCTTTTTTACAACCTCAAACTGCTAGTACCAGACAATTGGCTTTAATTTCCTACATACTATAAAAATTTGCAGCACAAGCTATATAGAACAGGCCACTTATTACACAGCAATCTTTTTTTTTTCGCACTCACAATTTAGTAAAAAAAAAAGTGCTACCCATATTTTCACGACCATAAGGCGCACCGTACTAAAAGGCGCAGTCTCAGTTACGTGTGCCATTTCTGTATTTAACACACACATAAGGCGCACCGGACTATAGGGCGCGTTTTTTATATACAGGTACATGTCCTCTACTAC